ACTCTAAACAAATTTTTAAGCTATTCATCCAATCCATCCCATGCTTGAGGAGTATACTCTAAAAATTTTGGTATTTATTTTTATCAGTTATACATGCACGTAGTATAGAGTCCATGAGACTTGAACAAAATACAGTGGTCCACTACTTTCCTACCTCAGTGTCTCACTCCCTAAGAACAATTACTTTTCAACTCTTTAGCTGGTTCTTGGCTATTTACCTCTATGTCACCAAATCGTATGTTGATATTACTTTTTTGTGATTTTTCAGTGTTCGGCTTTATCAGTTTTATTCCCACCATAAAAAATGAGACTTCAGTTGTCTTTCGCCCACACCGCACATCTCCTGTCCTCCTGCAAGAATTAGCAATTTTGTTTAGATCATCCTTTGTAAATTCTTTATGTAGCTCAGCTGTGTAGAATCCCATGATTACTTTTGCTTTCTCATACCTCCTTTTATTTTCTCTGGAGTTAACAATTGAATTGGTACTTTTATTTTCCTCGGTTTTCTATGTCTTTTATCATTAATTTAATCTCAGATTCTCTGCCAGTTGTCTGAACGTCCTCTAACACAAACACTCAGTATGTTGAAACACGTGGGTGTTCTATCAGTTTTATCTTCTCAAAGAAATACTTCCCAGAGCCTTCTGGTTTGTTCCAATCTGGACTTGTTATTCTCTAGGTCTGCTGTGCAGGTGTCCACCTTAGGATCTCTGTCATCCTGGGCATTCACTTTCTCTCTTGGTTGAACCCCATTCTTCCCCTTTCTTAGCATATTCTTTCATTCTGGTGGCCACATCCTCTAGTAGCCTTCGGAAAAAGGGAGGATTAAGTTTTATAGTTTATTTTTTGAGAACCTTGCATATGTAAGAATGTCTTTGTTCTGCTCTCTGAGTTGATGGACTTCTGGGTTAGAAAAGAATCCTCCACTCCCCAACCCCAGCATGGCGGAGGCACTGCTCCCATTGCCTCTGGTTTCCAGTGTGACTGCTGAGCGAGTCCCGTTCTGATTCTTGACCTTACGCATAGAAATGTTCCTTCTCCCTGGAAGTGGGAACTTCTCTTTCCCCCCAGTGTTACGGAATTTTCATTATGATGCACTTTTATCCATTGTGTGGGAGATTCAGCCCCTTCAGTCTCAAAACTTATGTCCTTCAGTTTGGGGAAATTATCTTGAATCATAACAATTGTGATTTCCTCCTTTACATTTTCAGTGTTCCTTTGTTCTAGAACTCATGTCCTTTGGATGTTGGACCTCCTGGACTGGTCTCCTGATTTTCCTCCTCTTTTCTCTCCCAGTTTCCATCATTTTGTCTTTTTGCCCTACTTTCTGGGCACTTGAGTCAACTTTATGTTCCAGCCTTTCTATTGAGATTTTAATTTTGTTGTGATATTTTATTTTTCAAGAGATTTTTAAAAATTTTCTCAATATCTTGTTTTTAATAATAGTATCTTTTTCTTTCATGGTTACAATATTTTTTTTATATATTAGATAATGGTGGTGGTGGTTGCACAACTCTGAATATACTAAGACCTGCTGAATTGTATACTTTAAAAGGGTGAATTTTATGGTATGTGAATTATATACCTCAGTAAAACTGGTATTAAAAATATGTTTAAAGCCAGACACTTTGGCTTATATCTATAATCCTAGCACTTTGGGAGGCTGAGACAGGAGGATCACATGAGGCTGGGAGTTCGAGACCAGCCTGAGCAACATGGTGAGACCCCCCATCTTTACAAAAAAATAGGAAAATTGGCCTGGTATGGTGGCAAATGCCTGTAGTCCCAGCTGCTTGGGAGGCTGAAGCAGAAGAATTGCTTGAACCCAGGAGTTTTGAGATTGCAGTGAGCTATGATGACACTACTGCATTGTAGCATGGGCAACAGAGGAAGACCCTGTCTCAAAAAGAAAGAAAGACTTTCCTCAAATGTCTAGTGGTCCTGGGCTGTCCATCCTCTCATTGAAGAATGGGGGACTAAAAAGCTGGAGGCTCTATATGCCTGGCTTGTCCACATTAAGATGAATTGGCTGGGCCTTTTCATTGGGAGATGCATCCCCAGTGTCAGTGTCTATAGGTATATTCCCTTGGGCTGTTAGGTTCCTAGAGAAGACTCTTCACTCTCCTGCATAGCAGGGTATGAGACTGGCTGCCAGCATTCTAGGAGCCCTGGGGAAAGTTGAGTGTTAAATATTTAGCAAGTAAGCATAAATCCCTCCATTTTCAGTGTGGTCTTCATACTTTCAGCTGTGGCTGGTATTTCCTAGACCACAGACTCTCCGTACTGCTCTCTCTAGAGAATCAACCCCCAGGCTTTTGCCAAGATTGGGGAGGGGAGTCTGAATTGTTTTAATGGAAAATTTTAAACATAATAAAGTCAGAGATAAAAATAGAATGAGCTCCCATGTACCTATTAGCCAGTTTCAACCATTACCAATGGAAGGCTAATTTTATATGCTCTAAATCCCACCTATTTTCTTATTCCCCCATTCAAATTATTTTGAAGCAAATCTTGACATCCTATCATTTCATCCATAAATATTTTATTATGTATCTCTATAAAAAAGAATTTTTTTTGAGATAGGGTCTTGCTCTGTTACCCAGGCTGGAGTGCAGTCCTGTGATCATAGCTCACTGCAGCCTTGAACTCCTGGGCTCAAGCAATACTCTTGCTTCAGCCTCCGAAGTAGCTGAGATTACAGGTGCATGCCACTACGCCCAGCTAATTTTTCTATTTTTAGTAGAGACAGAGTCTCGCTTTTGCTCAGACTGGTCTCAAGCGATCCTCTTGCCTCAGCCTCCCAAGGTGCTAGGATCACAGGCGTGAGCCACCACACCCGGCCAAAAAGAACTCTTTAAAAAACACACGCAATACTGATGTCACCCTTTTCCCCTCAAAAACAAAACAAGAAATCCAGTGACTCCTTAAGATCAGCATTTATCCAGTCAGTTCTAAATGCTTTTTAAAACAGACTTTTTACCCATTACTTCCCCTTTCAGCAGTATCTGTGGCTGCTAACTCCTAAGTCTTTTGGAGCCCTGCAGAATATAGCAGCTTGCTTCTCAGCTTAGTCCACTCCCAACTTACTTTTAATTAGCAATAATCACACCTCGGATAAACCTCATTGGCTGTGGATGCTGCCACTGCACAAAGCTATACTCCCAGCTTAGGATTCCACTTTCTTGGGTTAACCAACTCAATACTACTTGTCCATCTGCTTCCCAGCTTCCAAAATTTTATAGTTGTCGCATAATCTTATATTCTCTTTGTCCTTGTTTTTAAAAAACACACAACAAATCCCTTTATAATACTGTCTTAGTGGGATTTTGGGAGGGAACAGAGGTAAATGCATGTGTTCAGTATGACTTCTTTGAATACTCCTGATGGCTGGTTGTCTGGCTGTAGCTCTGAAGCCTTGAGGGATATGGTAGGCTTTCCTTCCCAGAGCATCCTAGCCCATCTTTATACTCCACTGACAACAGACAAGTCCATCTTTCTGATGAGTGTTTCCCTCTAATTTCTATCTAATGACCTTAATTTTAACTGCTGCTTCCCTCCTTCCCATTACAGCCTGTCAGATATTTAAAGAGGACTCTGTTACTGCCAGTCCTCTTTTCTCTGCACTGAAGATCCCATGGCCCTTCAGCTGTCCCCCACAGGGCACAATCTCTAGTCTTCTCTCCATCATGGTCCTCTCCTTTGATCTCTTCTGTTCACTTCCTTTTGGTGTGTACCTTCAAAACTAAACTCAGCTTTCCTGATTGAGTCTGGTCAGAGAAGAACAAGGTATCTCCTTTCCTTTTGAACATTATACCTTAATTAGTGTTGTCTTTGATCCTGTTAACTTTTTGTAAGTCTTATCAGGTTGAACAGAGGCAAAAGAATGCTGTGATCTTTCCCATACTGCTTCTAAGGCCTCTGTCCCTCACGCTGCATTTATGCCCGTGGTTTTTAGATCCATGTAAGAAGTTTGCATTTGTTCCTATTAAACACTGCATTGTTCAGAAGTCTGTGATGGAAATAGGCATATTTGAAGCCAGTCATGAAACTTCACTGGGATAGTTCCATATTTCACAGAGGAGAGAAATAAGGAAAAGGAGCAGTAGTCTTAGGGAAAAGAGAGAATTACTTGGAAAGGAGGCTAAGAGACTCCTGAAGTATTTCCTGGTGAGGGAGGTCTGTGAGTGAGTGTGTCAGCAGGAGGACGGAAGCCGTTGATGAGGGAGGGATTGCAACCTGGGAGCAGGGGCGTCTGGGGTCAGGGACAGCTGAGGTTGCAGATTAGCAAGGAGAAGGGGAACACTGTTTGCCCTCCTAATGTGCTTTCACTGTACTGGGCTTTGTTCAAATGTTATTTAACCCTTTCAGCAGCCTGTGAGTGTGGCAGTATTTGCTCCATCTTTCAGCTCAAGAATCTGAGGCTTATGGAGGCAAAGAAACTTATGTAAGATCACACAGCTGATTAGTGACAGCAGGGTTCAAACCAAATTCCATGCTGTACCGGGCTCCCCAGATGGCCCAACATGGGCAAGGGGCAAGTTAGATTATGGTTAAAGATTAGTGAAAACAAGGCTGTGAGGCAGATAAACCAAATTAGCTCTGTGTCCAAAGAGTGTTTAAAAGAAAAAGCCCAGCTAAACCTGAGGTGCTACTCTGAGCCAGTTTTTTTCTAATTCTTGCTTTGTATTTTGGCACTTTGCACCCAGTTCGAAAAATTTGCAGTGGCGGCTTTCTACTGAAATTATTTGGAAGGAGAAGGGATTACGGTCTTGGAAGAGAGATGAGATGATAAAAGTGTTTATACATGTGTACTTGTATATATACATACTACAAAGCAGTGAGTTATTATCCTGAATTTATTTATTCTTTGAATGATATATGTGAACTCTTCTCCCTGTGACCAAAAAGAAAAAGAAAAGAAAAATCACTGGTCTTAAGAATTCTAAAAAAAAAAAATTATTTGGAGCAGCCCTGATTTCCTCTCATCTCTTACCTTGTAGGCCTTTGCCCAGTTTGATGCTGAGGGCGATGGTACAGTTGATGCTGAGAACATGTTGGAGGCCCTCAAGAATTCCAGTGGAGCTAATCTTCAGGGGGAGCTGAGCCACATCATCAGACAACTGCAAGCCTGCTCTCTCGTTCCAGGTAAGGCGCTCATCTGTGTGCCATCTGTGCACCCAAGAGTGCTCTCTTAGAGCCAGAATGAACTTTTCTGTACTAGAGATTGAAATTAAGTAAGCTTGTTAGTACTGTGAAGTAAACTCCCCCAACAGTATTCATTAGACACATGGTTTGAATTAGCATTCAGTGTAATCATCTCTTTCATTCCCTAATACAGTAACGGCTGAGCAGTTCTACAGTTTTTATGAAGCTTTGTCGTGAGCTGCCTTCGTTAGTGGATTTATTTATTTATTTATAGATAGATAGACAGACAGACAGACAGACAGACAGACAAAGTCTTGCTCTGTTGCCCAGCCTAGAGTGCTGTGGCATTAGCCTAGCTCACAGCAACCTCAAACTCCTGGGCCCAAGCAATCCTCCTGCCTCAGCCTCCCAAGTAGCTGGGACTACAGGTATGTGCCACCACGCCTGCATAATTTTTTCTATTTTTAGTTGCCCAGCTAATTTTTTCTATTTTTAGTAGAGACAGGGTCTTGCTCTTGCTCAGGCTGGTCTCAGGCATCTTCCTGCCTTTGCCTCCCGGAGGGCTAGGATTACAAGTGTGAGCCACCGCCAGTTGATCTCTTTAATTTGCTCTGTTAAGAAGCCTTCCATGGCCGTATTGTATGTTATCTGAGCATCCTGTGGTTTCTTTTGTACAACATATTACCATTGTAATTGATTAACTGATTACTCAATTACTTGTTAAATGTCTATTTTCACTCCTCTACTATGAGCTCCATGAGGGCAGGGACATTCTTATTTTTGCTGTGCCCTTACATTGGGCATTTTTTTTTTTTTTGGCACATGGTAAGCACTTTTTTTTTAAGAAAGCTATTACAGTAGTCCCCCCTTATCTGTGGGGAATATGTTCTAAGACCTCCAGTGGATGCCTGAAACGACAGATAGTACGGAACCAAAAATATACTATGTTTTTTATGCATATATACCTATGATAAAGTTTAATTTATAAATTAGGCACAGTAAGAGATTAACAATAACTGATAATAAAATCGAATAATTATAACAGCATACTATAATAAAAGTTGTGTGAATGTGGTGTGTCTCTCTAAATATCTTATTGTACTGTATTCATCTATTTTTGGACCACAGTTGACCTCGGGTAACTGAAAGCATGGATAAGGGAGGACTGCTATACTTTAAAGTCTAAGTAGGAATCAGAATAGCTTAAAATTAAGCAATGTTTCTTCTACATTGTACTTATGAAAAAACTTGGCCTAAGTTTTTGTGTGATATCCTTCAGGGGCTGAGACTTACGTAAAAATAGAATCATAATAAAATTACACTTTATTTTTGAATGAGAATTGTGTTTGAAATGGAAAAAACTCACATCATCTTTTTAGTCTCAGTTCATCTTACCTAAGAACTTTCCCTGCTTCGTGCACTTGTCATAATACTTAGAGTTGCTAGGGCAGCAACAGAGGCAAAATGGTTTTGATAGATGCATAAATGTATATCTGATTGCTCCAGCTTACTGCTGAGTGATGTGTTGAACTAGGGAAGGATGGTTTCTGTGTCTTAATGAAGAATGTGTATTTCTATTCTTCCTCAAGTTGTCTTTAATTAAGTAATTTTTATGGAGCATTATAGGTAGCATATATATGTTAACTTTTTTCCTAGTCTCATGATAATCGAAATTATACTTTGGATTATGTTTACCTAATTTATATCTTAGCATTTGTGTATTGCCCCTGCCTTTGCATTATCAGCATGTGAATGGCATCGACAGCTTTATTTGGACACATCAAAGAGATTTTGGAGGAGGAAAGGAAAGGGGTGGATAACCAGAGAATCCATCAACAGATAATACTCAGTGCACTTTTGTGCTGAGTAGCTGTGGTGAGGGGAGATTAGGTTGAGAAAAAGCCACAGTCCAAATCCAAGGCACTTACATAGCAGGCTCATGACTTAGGACTTTCTCTTCAAAATTTGTCATCAACACCCAATTTGAAAGAATTGTATTATCAGTCTCAGGGTGAACCTTTGTAAGCTGAGGTCGTCTCAGTGGTGGAATTCCATAGTTTCCTAGTCCCTCTTTCTAACCTCCTCCCACACTAAAACTAGTTCCTTTTGTATCTCATTGTATTGTGCTTAAGAGTTTAAAAGAGAGATGGCACTTTTACTGAGTTAATTAAACTGAATTCATTTACCTAATATTAAATGAATTTACTGAACATTTCAGCCTATGGAAACATTTTTCTCATTACAAGAACCAGTCTATTTTTGACATGGGTTCTGAGTGGAGCAAATCAGTGCAGCAGTGTCATAAACATGTGGTTTGGGTATTACTGTGGAGTCTGCTAAGAAAAAACTGTGAAAGAATGGGGAAGGGATTGCATAGACTTTTTTTTTCACCCTATCCTCTTGGCCCCCCCCACCACCATCCCACCCCCTGCGTAGACTTTTGAGTCTTTGGAAATTAGATGTCTCCAAAGTTTGGGTAGAGGATGTGGCTAAAATGGACTGCCTTGAGTGCAGTACTTCTTCTCGGCCTCACATTTTATCTTAAAAATCAATGCAGAGTTTCATTCTGTTTTAATGCATCTGTTTGTTTTACTATTAAAAACAACTTCCTGGGGGACTTCTGGAGTCTTGATCTGGGTGCTGCTTATACAAGTGTGTTCAGTTTGTGAAAATTAATTGAGCGATACAATTGTAATATATATACTTTTTGTTATGTATGTTATGATTCATTAGGTAGTTTTTTATTTTTTTACTTTTAATTTTTAATTATGGGTACGTAATACTTATATATCTTTATAGAGTACATGTAATATTTTGATAGAAGGATACAATGTGAATTAATCAAATCAGGGTAATTGGAGTATCCATCACCTCAGGCATTTAACATTTCTTTGTGTTAGGGACATTCAAATTCTACTCTTTTAGTTATTTTAAAGTATACCATAACTTATTGTTCATTGTAGTTACTTTGTTGTGCTATCAAATATTATTCACTTCAACTAACTATATTTTTGCATCCATTAACCATCCCCACATTATCCCCCCATTGTGTTACCCTTCCCAACCTCTGGTAACTGTCATTCTATTCTCTGTCTCCATGAGATCAATTATTTTCAATATTTAGCTCCCACATATGAGTGAGAACATGCAAGATTTGTCTTTCTGTGCTTGGCTTATTTCACTTAATGTAATGTTCTCCAGTTCCATCCTTGTTGTAAATGGCAGGATTGCATTCTTTTTTGTGGCTATATAATATTCCATTGCACATATGTACCACAATTTCTTTACCCGTTCATCCTTTGGTGGACACTTAGGTTGATTCCATGTCTTGGCTATTGTGAATAGTGTTGCAATAAAGAGAGCAGATGTCTTTTCAGTATGCTGAATTCCCATCCTTTGGATATATACTCAGCAGTAGGATTGCTGGGTCATATGGTAGTTCTATTTTCAGTTTTTTGAGGAACCTCCATACTGTTTTCCATAGGAGTTGCACTAATTTACATTCCCACTGACAGTGTACAAGGGTTCCCCTTTCTACACATCCTCACCAGCATTCATTATTGCCTGTTTCTTTGATAAAAGCTATTTTAATTGGGGTGAGATGATATCTCATTGTAGTTTTGATATGGATTTCTCTGATGACTAATGATATTGAGCATTTTTTCATGTATCTGTTGGCGATTTGTATATCTTTTTCTGAGAAATGTCTATTCAGATGCTTTGCCCATTTTTTAATCAGATTTGATTTTTTTCCAATCGAGTTGTTGGAGATCTTTATATATTCTAGTTATGAATCCCTTTTCAGACGGGTAGCTTGCAAATATTTTCTACCATTCTGTGTGTTGTCTCTTCACTTTGTTGATTGTTCTCTTTGTTGTGCAGAAGCTTTTTAGCTTGACGTGATCCCTTTTGTCCAATTTTGCTTTGGTTGCCTGTGCTTTGAGGGTATTACTGAAGTCCTTGCCCAGACCAATGTCCTGAAGCATTTTCCCAGTGTTTTCTTTTGGTAGTTTCATAGTTTCAGGTCTTAGATTTAAGTCTTTAATCCATTTTGATTTTATTTTTGTATATGGCAAGAGATAAGGGTCAGGTTTCATTCTTCTGCATATGGTTATCCAGTTTTCCTAGCACCATTTATTGAAGAGACTGTCCTTTCCCCACTGTATGTTCTTGGTACCTTTGTTGAAGATAAGTTCACTATAGATGTGTGGATTTATTTCTGGGTTCTCTATTCTGTTCCATTGGTCTGTGTGTCTGTTTTTATGCCAGTACCATGCTGTTTTGGTTACTATAGCTCTGTAGTATAATTTGAAGTCAGGTAATGTGATTCCTCCAGTTTTATTCTTTTTCCCTAGATGACTTTGACTATTCTAGGTCTTTTGTGATTCCATATAAATTTTAGGATTATTTTTTCTGTTTCTGTGAAGAATGTCATTGGTATTTTGATGGGGATTGCATTGGATCTGTAGATTGCTTTGGGTAGCATGGACATTTTAATAATACTCGTTCTTCCAATCCAACAGCATGGAATATCTTTCCATTTTTTTGTGTCGTCTTCAACTTCTTTTATCAATGTCTTATAGTTTTCATTATAGTGATCTTCTTTACTTCTTTGGTTAAGTTTATTCCTAGATATTTTATTATTTGTGGCTATTGTCAATGGGATTACTTTCTTGGTTTCTTTTTCTCTTATTTATTGTTGGCATATAGAAATGCTACTGATTTTTATATGTTGTACGATTTTGTATCCTGCAACTTTACTGAATTTGTTTATCAGTTCTAATAGTTTTTTGGTGGAGTCTTTAGGTTTTTCTGGATATAAGATATCATCTGCAAACAACATAATTTGACTTCTTCCTTTTCAGTTTGGATGCCCTTTGTTTCCTTCTCTTGTCTGATCGTTCTAGCAAGAACTTCCAGTATTGTGTTGAATGATAGTGGTGAGAGTGGGCATCCTTGTCTTGCTCTATATCTTAGAGGAAAGGCTTTCAGTTTTTCCCCATTAAACATGATACTAGCTGTGGGTCTGTCTCATATGGCTTTTATCATGTTGAGGTAAGTTCCTTCAATACCCAGTTTTTTGAGAGTTTTTTAATCATGAAGGGATATTGAATTTTATCAAATGTTTTTTCAGCATCAATTAAAATGATCATATGGTTTTTGTCCTTCATTCTGTTGATATGATGTATCACATTGATTGATATGCATATGTTGAACCATCCTTGCATCCTTGGGATGAATACCACTTGATCATGATAAATAATCTTTTTAATGTGTTGTTGAGTTTGGTTTGCTAGTATCATTAAGTAGTTTTTTAATAAATTGCCCCAAATCTCCAAGTATATCTGAGCTCCAGGAAAAGCTATCATGTTTATTCTCTCTTCACTTAACCATAACACTTCTGTGTTGTGGGCATCTTGGTTCAAGGCATATTAATATAGGTTATGAGGAGCCATGAAAGGATTTTAAACAGGGGTAGACGTGGTCTGTTTTGTGTTTTGGTAAGGTTACCTGGGTTAATGGTATGTGGGAGCCACTTAGGACATCTGGATAGGTGTATAAGCAGGAGGTGTTGTGACCAGAGCCTGGGCGGTAGCCAGAGGGATGGGCAGGTGGGGCAGAGTCCAGAGGAGTCACCCGGGGGAGAGAGAACTGGAACAGCAGAAGGAGCACTTGGGGGGAGTGTGGAGAAGAGTTCCCGATCCTGTCCCTTTTTTGTTGACATCTTAGTGTATCACCTGAGCCTCATTTTCTTCAGTTGTCAAACAAGGATACCTGTACCTTCTATGTATACCCTTTCATCTTCTTGTGAGGACCAAATGAGATGATGTATGTGGAAGAACCTTATAAATTGGAAAATGCTGTTGGAAATTGTGATAATGGGAGGGGTTGTATTGTCATTATCATTGTCTTATGTAGCTTGGTATAAAATTAGTTATGCTTTTACTCTGTAATCCGATAAACTTTATTCCTAGCCTATATTCTCTATGTAACACTTCTTTAAAAACTTCTAATTAGTTATTTAAGTGCTTATTAGTTTCTGAAGTTTGGATTGAAACAAATAATCATTATTCTAAGTCTTCTAAAATTCTGTTCAACTAAAGTGAAATAAATTCTTAGACTGAGATTGCTACTGGTTCATTTCTTTAAAACTTATTTAGATTTTTAAATGATTAAAGCTGAAAATATCAATGAAGATTGTTAATGGCTGCTTTTAATTCAGCCAATTTGGATAGGCCACCAGGCAGAGGATGTGGAAACTATTGTGGCTTCCCTAAAACACCAACAATGGATTTTGTCTATTTAGGTTTTATAGACATATTTTCAGAGTCAAAGGAGGGCCTCGGTGTTCACGCGTCAATGATACTGCGCTTCCTGCATCGCAATCGGATCTCTAGCATGGTGATACCCTACCCGATGCTGGAGCATTGCAATAACATGTGCACTATGAGGTCTTCTGTTCTGAAGGAGTCTCTGGATCAACTGGTACAAAAAGAAAAGGGTATGTGTTTGAGGGGTTCTCCTGAAAATACTCTGTTATCATTTCTTCTAGATGTAGTGTTTATTAATAGAATGAGCCAATCCTTTTCCTTGCCTTTATTTCTGACAGTATAGTAACTAGTTTGTAGCTTAAGAATGTGATCTTTCCCCTCCTTCCCTCCCTTCCTCCCTCCCTTCTTTACACAACTGGCTTCTGCTCCTTCACTTTTCTATTCAGGTGTGACTTTAGGGATGCCTTTCCTCTCCCCACCTTCTGGTCAATATCACTTTTGCAGGTTTAATGGTCTAAATAGCGCTTATTAGTTAAGGTTGTAGTGTTATTTATTTACTTGTATTTTGTAGGTCTTGTTTGCTTCCTTATTCTTAGCACCTGGAACTCTGCCTGTCACATAGTAGGAACTCAATGAGTATTTGTTGAATAAATGAGGGAAACCACTACAGGCTCAGTTGTGGCAACAGAAGTTGATGATGTATATAGACAGGTCTGTGGAACATAATTGAGTCCAGAAATAGACCCAAGTACATATGGGAATATGTTACCAGATAAAGTCAGTGTTATAATAGAAAGGTGAATTGTCAACAAGTAGGGTTAGGGCAACTGGTTAGCTATTTGGATAAAAAATAAAACTAGATTCTTAACACATTCCATTCACTAAAATAAATTTCAGATGAATCAAACGGTTCAACTGAAAAGAAAATGCTAAGATAATAGAAGAAAATAGTTCTACATTGTAAAATATGGGACCGCCTTTCTAAGCAAGGCAAGAAACCCAGAATCTACAAAAGAAAAGATTAATAAATTAGACTGTATGAAAATGTAAAGTTCTTCACAGCAAAAAACATCATAAGCAGAGTCAAAAGACAAAGGACATTCTAGGGAACAAAAATATACTTTGTAACATATTAATGACTCAATAGACTGACTAAATTTTTTAGTAACTCTTCCCTTGGGCAACTACTTAACTCTCTGTTCCTTAGTTTCCTCATTTCTAAAATGAATTAGTACATAGAGAATGAATAGAAAAGTACCTGGCTCACAATAAACACTCAAAAATATTAGCTGTTATATGTATTTGTATATATACATTAGATAATGTATATAAAATAATGAATTGATAAGACTAGTGACCCAGAAGAAAATGGAAAAGGGTAAGACCAGACCATACTTAGAAACACAAGTGGGTTAAAAATCTTCACTCATAATTAAAGAAATGTAAAACTATAAAACATCATTTTCTTCTCTTGGCATAGTTTTGCAAATGTATCAGTAATTTAAATATTGCGCTGTAATGAGGTGCTGGGGCAATCCTTGACCAGGGTGTTCTTTGGAAGGAGATTTTAAGGAGCATTATAATGTCTCTAGAGCCAAAGTGCCAGACATACTTCTGTTAAATATTTTAAATGACCCTTTTTTTTCCCCTTTTGCAAAAGAGATGTCATACGATAAACTGGTTTCCCCTGCAGAAAGCCCTGGAGATCTAACTAGAAGCCCAGAGATGGATAAACTCAAGTCAGTGGCAAAGTGCTATGCTTATATAGAAACATCCTCCAACCCTACAGACGTCGACAAGATGACAAATGGAGAAACGTCATCCTACTGGCAGTCAGATGGCAGTGCCCGCTCGCACTGGATTCGGTGGGTGCTAGAATGCTTTTTTTATTTTTTAAAGTGTTGGAATGTTTTCTACTCTTTTTCTTATCATAAGTAGCTATCTGTAAAACTGCTTTAAGAATCAAGTAAAAGGAGTTCTGTAAAATCATGTAACCTGGTTCATATATTCATAAACATAGATAATTTCTTGATGTTTTAAAGAAAGAAATAGCATTTGACTAATATAGTACTGATTTTAGATGTTTTTCCATAGTTTCTTAGGAAAATTAGTATGATAAGGGGCAAGTACTTTTTTTACATCACATGTGATTATATTTTGTACTCCTGCCTTTTTCCTTATTTTAAAAATTTTTTAAATTTTTTCTACTTTTTCTGAGATTTGGCAGAAAAAGATCCTTTCTGTACATTTTTAAAATCTGTTGTATGCAACTGAGTTGGTCAGTTTAGGAGATGGAATGGGATGGTCAGGAATCCTGGAGTGGAATTGATAACAGTAACCTGTAGTATTTCTAGATGTTCTGAAGCTGCTATCAAAATTTTCACCTGTCCCCTGTGAAAACGGACTAATTCCAGTTGGTAGAAATAGAAATAATCGTCTTGTTTTCTCTTAGCGGGCACATTTGACCTTTAGCCATATAATTTATAGATGAGGGAATATACTCAGTTCTTTGCATGAAGTTTATAATTTGCTTTTTGCCAGGGAGAGGGATTTTGTTAGAATGTTCATACAGTTATTTCCTGCCTGTACCAACGGCTTAAAAAGAATGGTAAGATTAATCTTGAACTGAAAGGTTTTTTAGAAGCATGGGAAGGTCATGAGGACTTTGAAAGTCACAGCCAGCATTTCAAGTTTGTAGTTGTTAGGAAAATTAGTCTTTGAGTATATCAAATTTGATATTTAATATCAAATATCAAATAAAATCTTTCAGATGGGACTTGTGGACCCTGTCAGTTCTTGATCCATATAAACTTTTGTAGTTTCTGTTCTCTGTGTTTTCCAGTTTAAAAATGAAGCCAGATGTTGTGCTCAGGCACCTATCCATTGCAGTGGCTGCCACCGACCAGAGCTACATGCCGCAACAGGTGACAGTAGCTGTGGGGAGGAATGCCAGTGATCTTCAGGAAGTCCGAGATGTGCACATCCCCAGCAATGTCACTGGCTACGTGACACTGCTGGAAAATGCCAACATCAGCCAGCCCTGTGAGTCAAACAGCACTGAGGGAATGGGGAAGGGAGGAAGGGAAGTAATATTTTTTAGCAGGAGGACCTCTGAAGTGGAGAAGCTGTTAAGTTTTCTTTTGAGATCTGATTTGTTTCTTAGGATATACACAAAAGTGGGGTTCTCCTGAAAAATACTCTGTTATCATTTCTTTTTTAGTTAAAAATATTTTATTCCTTTTTTTAATTGAAAAATCAGAAAAATATAGATAAACAAAAATACTCAAGGCCGGGCGTGGTGGCTCACGCCTGTAATCCTAGCACTCAGGGAGGCCGAGGCGGGCGGATCGTTTGAGCTCAGGAGTTCGAGACCAGCCTGAGCAAGAGCGAGACCCCGTCTCTACCAAAAAAAAAATAGAAAGAAATTAATTGGACAGCTAAAAATATATAGAAAAAGTTAGCCGGGCATGGTGGCGCATGCCTGTAGTCCCAGCTCCTCGGGAGGCTGAGGCAGTAGGATTGCTTGAGCCCAGGAGTTTGAGGTTGCTGTGAGCTAGGCTGATGCCACGGCACTCTAGCCCGGGCAACAGAGCGAGACGCTGTCTCAAAAAAAAAAAAAAAAAAATACTCAAAATCCTACTACCCTGGGATTTTCCATGTGACTACGTTGGTGTGGATCCTTTGAGACCTTTTCTTGTGTTTGTGTATTTGTGTATGTGTGTGGTTTACTTCACATACATACACATATACACAAATTTTTTTCTAAAAAATAGAGTTGTATATATACTTTTTTACATATATCTATACATATCTTTTTACAAGAATGGTGATCGTCTATGCATATTCTTTTATAATTTTTTTAGTGTGTTATCATATCATATGTTCATGAACACCTTTATTTAGTATTGTAACAATATGCCTTAATTTTAACCCACCCCTTATTCTTGGACATTTAGGTTGTTTCCAGTTTTATACTATTGTAACCTTGCTTCACACATAGAATTTTGGAAATAATCACAATTCTGTGATTTCTTTCCAGGCTTATTTCATTCAGGGAGCCGGAATGCTTCATGTTTTGTCTCATTTCTTCTAATGCTTTCCTGGGCCAAAAGAAGTGTTCTTACTTTGCTCAAAGGAACTGAGGCCTAGGGAGGTAGAGTCTTTGTGTCTCACTCCTAGGCAAAGAAGTAGTTAAGCTTGTGGAGTAGAAGGTTCCTGTCTCATACTGTGCTGGTCTTTTCTCTAAGTTATGTCCTTTTTAACTTCTCACATCCTCCTCTCTGACCCAAATAAGAAATTGTGACATTTCTTAAAAGTAAGTCATGTCTATGTCATCTATTTAGACTTGAATATTAAAAAAAAGAAATACAACTGCTTATGATCCAGCTACTGTTCTATAACTCAATCCAAATTTCAGAACCCTAGAGAGAATTCTAGAAATGGTCTTACCGTGCATTCAATCAGGATTGTTAAATTACTCTCTAACTTTCAAGACTCATTGCATTCCCAAGAAGTTTTGTGATGTAAAGACTTAAGCCACCCTTAATTTTATACATTATTCTTATGATTTCTTAGATTTGTCAGTGCTTTTGGACAAGTTTATTATATACTAGTTCCATTGCACACATTATTTATTTCTGTCATCAAAGTATGTCTTTAGAATTTTCTTTTCAAAATGTCAATTACTATTTTGCTTTTAGTTAGGAGCCTAGCATTTGCTGAACTAAAGAAGTTAATCCAATACTGCATTTGTTGTTTGTGCTTGACAGATGTCCAGATTAACGTAAAGCGTTGTCTTAGCGATGGATGTGACACTCGAATACATGGTCTGAGGGCTGTTGGCTTTCAGAGAGTTAAGAAGGCTGGAGTCTCAGTCTCAGATGCTTCCGCAATATGGTATTGGTCTCTGCTGACATCTCTGGTGACGGCGTCTATGGAGACAAATCCTGCCTTTGTCCAGACAGTGCTGCACAATACTCAGTAAGTCACTCTCTCTATTTTCCAGCCCCGTCCAGATGCACTCATTCTTCTCTGATCCTTTAGGGAGTGTCACTGAGCGGCCTTCGATCATCGATCGTCATGGCTTGGTCACCAGCTCAGCCCTGGGTGCCTTGGTGTTTCGTGTTTGTGCCTTTCACTTCTCACTGCTTCTCTCTTTGGCTGATGTTCTGACTTCACAGACTTTGAAGAAGTGCCCTTTCCACCTTCCTGCTCCTCCTCACACAGTTCCTCCAAAGTCCTCCTTCATCAGCTCACTAAATGGACCAGTCTTACGAGAAGGTCACTCATGCTGTGCCTGTTTCTTATCCAATGGGGAAAAATTGCTCATGTTTGTATAGGACTTTGTATTGGATAAAGCATTTTCAGATGCTCAGTGTTGTTTTACCTGCCGACACTGAAATGTACCTGTGAAAATTATTTCCATTTTATAGATGAGGATATTGTGATCTTCCCTGAGGTCACACAACCAATTAATGATGGATCAGTTTGAATCTAGGTGTTTTGGATTCCCAAGTTGAGGGCTCTTCCCACTAATGAGTAAAATATT